ACATTTTTACGGAATGTGTGTGTGTGTATGCAGGAGGAACCAAGTGGATATCGAACAAGCTCAGTACCGAAAAGTATGACCCTGCAGCAGACACGTGGACCGAGTTCCCTGACATGGACTTCAAATATCGTGACATATACGCAGAAGTCATCGACGATATGATCTTCGTCTTCAAAGGATATATTATTTTTGGCGGCGCATCTTACAAATACAAGGAAAATCGATGGTTTGTTTCTTTGTTTGTTTGTTTGTTCAGGACTGTATAATCACAAACTGTTACTTTCGAAATGCTCTAGGAAGTGAATCATTTCCGGTCAAGGTCTCCGAGATCTTGCGGATGCTGCGCCGTGTAGTGACGTAGAAACAGTCCGACGTTTCAGAGATTCTTATTGCTTACTCAGGGCCTTGAATACAACGCGCGAAAAATGGGTGAGAGGAAGGGGGTAGAGTGAAAGCAGGCAGGGCGATGTTGCGGTCAGGCCGTATCGTTAGAGCAAAGGCCAAATGACTAGGTAATGCTAATCAGACGTAAACTGTAACTGCATCATTAAGAAGCTCTTAGAGTAAGTTTCTTTGATCAGTGGCACTCTCTTGGGCAGAAAGTTCCCGGCGTTCAGCACATCAGCATCGCCATAATATTCGGCTTTTATCAAAGTGTTGGTTCAGTTTCAGGTTTAACGACGCCTATCAGTCTCATGTTCCCATATTTTATGGAAGTTTATTAGGAAATGGCTGTTGAGAGAGTGAGTAAGCAGGTCCGAAAACATCCCTGAAGACAGATTTCTTCATAATTGTTTGTGCAAGAGCCAGGAATCCCACAGATATTCATTTAATTTTGATTTTTGTCTGTTTTATGTCCAGCAGAACCTCTCCAGAACTACGTTTGGTGGGACAAATTTTTTTTGAAAATATATTGCTAATAGGGGTAAATATTGTCATGGGCGCATGTCTCAAACAAGACACGCTTATCTCTCCAAAGAAAGCGTGTGATTAAATTTATTATTCTGACCGAAGGTAATGGCTTAATGAAGTCGTTTGATAGCTTTTTAAAATAGTCACAACTTGTACCTCCACTTTGATGTAATAAAATGTATCACGTTATAATAGAACGTTGGCCGGGGTTCTATGTGCATGAGTGAAAGAAAGATCACGTGGCAACTGTTCTGAAATATGGCGTGGGAATCGTACACTGACGTCCCATTGGGGGAATTTTTGTTAAGGTTGTCTGGAGACGAATTATAAGCAACGACATTTCGGTGGAAGCTGTGCCCTTAGCTTCTAGCAGTTTTCCATTCTACCAAAAGACAGAGCCAGCCCATCAGACATGGATATTTTTAGGTCAACACATTTCACGACTCACAAAGATAATTCTTTTATACTTATTCTACAACGAAATCTCTGATATTTTAGAACCCCATAAGTAAAAGTATATATATTTTTAAGAAATTGGGTAATTTCTTTACATAAATGCACCGACATTCAAATTACATTTCTGTTAAATTTATATTAAATAAATTCTTTATGGTAGAAGACGCATGTAGAGCTACAAATTTTCTGTAACTGTGTCAGTGAAATGTTGTAAAAATTGTCTTGAGTGTAGATAATACTGATGGATGAGAAAGAGGGTTTTTTTCCACTTTTAATATTTCAAATTGCAGGCACAAGGTGAGAGACATGAATGTTGGTAGATCCCACATGTCGACTTGTGTCGTCAAGAACCTACCGAATGCAAGCGATTACACCTACAAACACAGAGACAAATTAATGGTGGAGAAACGTAAAAAAAGAAGCAGGAGAAACGTAAAAAAAGGAAGAGGAGAAACGTAAAGAAATGTTAGATTGGGAAAATCAGTAGTTTGCACGAACACATTAATTTTAATTACTTTCCTCTACGAAAATTATGTAGAAAAGAAGGAATTGATGTAGGAGCTACCAAAAAAAATAATAAAAAGACAAATGTTGTTTGCAGCAAAGAAGGAAAAAATTATTTCTTCTCGTTATTTTCTGCTCAAGAAGTCTTTTTGAAATAAGTTACTTTACAGACGTTTAATTTTACTATGTTCTTGATTCATGAACATCGTTTAGAAAAACGTCATTACGAAGGCAACACACTGAGAATTTTGTATCGATTTCTGATCTAGTGTGTTATTTTAAAGAAATTGCATAAGTAAATTAGGCTGATTTGCCCCAATATACTGGGTAATTGTGCCAAATGCCAATCTTTGTCTCCTCCTACAATTCTTCCCTTCAACTGTTCTTTCCATTACCAAATTAACCAATCCTGGGTGCCTCCGAATGTGTTCCACCATCCTATCTCTTCTTCTGTTAAGAATTTTCCATAGCCTTCTTACTTCGCCTATCCTGGCTTCCTTGGACACGTGTCAGAATAAGACGAGTTTTCTCTCTTGCCTCCTTTCACTGTTATCAGGTACACAACGTCTTACCAGGAAAACTAGAACTAGTGGGAAAAAGAAGGCTTGAATGATATACTGACAAGCGACTACACCTACAAACACAGAGACCAATTAATGGTGGAGAAACGCAAAACGGAAGGAGGAGAAACGCTTCGTAAAATACGTGCAGGACTCAGTCCAATATCGGGCCGCAAATGGACGTAAAAAAAGGAAGAGGAGAAACGTAAAAAAATGTTAGAATGGGAAAATCAGTAGTTTGCACGAACACATTAATTTTAATTACTTTCCTTACGAAAATTATGTAGAAAACAAAGAATTGATGTAGGAGATACCAAAAAATTAGATAATACTGATGGATGAGAAATATTTAATATTTCAAATTGCAGGCACGAGGTGAGAGACATGAATGTTAGAAGATCCGACATATCGACTTGTGTCGTCAAGAACCTACCGAATGCAAGCGACTACACCTACAAACACAGAGACCAATTAATGGTGGAGAAACGCAAAACGGAAGGAGGAGAAACGCAAAAAAAGAAGCAGGAGAAACGTAAAAAAAGGAAGAGGAGAAACGTAAAAAAATGTTAGAATGGGAAAATCAGTAGTTTGCACGAACACATTAATTTTAATTACTTTCCTTACGAAAATTATGTAGAAAACAAAGAATTGATGTAGGAGATACCAAAAAATAAAATAAAAAGAGAAATGTTGTTTGCAGCAAACAAGGAAAAATTATTTCTTCTCGTTATTTTCTGCTCAAGAAGTCTTATTGAAATAAGTTACTTTACAGACGTTTAATTTTACCATCCATCAA